GGCTGGAACACCTCCCTTATGAAGACAGGCTGAGAAAGTTGGGGCTGTTCAGCCTGGAGAAGAGAAGGCTGCGTGGAGACCTCAGAGCAGCCTTCCAATATCTGAAGGGGGCCTACAAGGATGCTGGGGAGGGACTCTTCATTAGGGACTGTAGTGGTAGGACAAGGGGTAATGGGTTTAAACTTAAACAGGGGAAGTTTAGATTAGATATAAGGAAGAAGTTCTTTATTGTGAGGGTGGTGAGGCACTTGAATAGGTTGCCCAAGAAGGTTGTGAATGCTCCAACCCTGACAGTGTTCAAGGCCAGGTTGGGCAGAGCCTTGGGTGACATGGTTTAGTGCGAGGTGTCCCTGCCTATGCCTTTCCAACCCTAACCATTCTATGATTCTATGATTTTCATTTATTACACAGTTTCAGCTAGAAGAGCTGAGACTCAAAGTGAGATAGCAGAGGAGCCGAAGTTTTTCTCCTTTAAAACGTTCAGTCTGGTAGGCAGCACTTTTATTTTTAAGTTGCAACATAAAACATCAAAACAAAGTATCTAAATAAAGCTGAAGGGTAGAAAGAGGAGATTATGTTTCACCAAGGGCGTAGTTATGATGAATCTGTGTTTTGCCAAGCTCTAAATTCTTGCTAAAATCATATTTGGTGGTTTATGATGAGCTGAGCTTTGTTGGAAAGGAAAAGTTGTGATTGCTCTGTGGTGGTTTGGGGACTTGCGGTTGAGTGCTCCAGCATGCCCTCAACATGAGACATTTAAACTCAATAATGTTTAGCGTTGATATCCAAGCATGCATTTACTGGGGAAGGAAGGGGCAAGGAGCAGGCATGTAAGATGGTGGCAGCACCCAGCGCTAGCATTGCATGTGTTGAATATACTGCTAAAAAAGGCCATGCAGATAGTTCTCCAGTCCACAGAGAGCTTTGTGCCTGCTACTTCCTCCCCATCTCGTGTAAATGGCCAAATCACCACAGGCAGTAGGCTTTGGGAACCATGGGAGACTATTCATTTTACTCTTCTTGAGCTCTGTGCTGCTGCATCTGCACCAGCTGCAGTTCTTCATCCTGGGATCTCAGAAGGCCAGCAACAGATTGCCACTGGAGAAGAAGAAATACTTGGCTGACTGATAGCTGCTCCTATACCCTAAATGGACCAGAGAGCATTGACTAAATGGGTAGAATCCCTGTTTGTGAGCCCAGTTCCTGTGAACAAGCAGATGGAAATGGAGAGAAAAAGAGAACATCCTCCTTCTCTGTTGAGGTTTATTTTGGTCTTCACTTGAAATAACCTGCGTTAATCACTTGGGACTTCAGCTCTCATAAGTAATATGACTGAGCCTAAGCAATAAAGTGATAAAGTTAATGTTTGAGTTGTTTCCAAATAGAAGATGCAAGGAAGAAGCAGTCCCCACTCCAAAGAGTCTGTGAAAGGTGAAAAAAATGGACAAGGGAGCTAGCGCAGAAAAATTGCCAAGGTGCAGGTTGTTATAATGTTAGTGCTGCACAGTATCATGGTTTATCTTTCAATGTTTAATCTCGCAGCATGGGACTCCTCTTTTTCCAGGTGATGTTTACCCATCGAACAAATCATCAGAGTATTTTGGAGGTCCTTTTCTTGAGCTCTCTTGTGGGATGAAGTAGGCTGGGGCTGAAGGGCAGCATTTTACAGGGAGCTGATGATTGTGGGGTGCATGGCTGGGCAGTGCAGAGCACTGCAGGTCAAGGAAAAAGCAGAGACTGGACTTGATTTGTTGCAGATGTTGGAACTGGGATCAGAGTAGATATCTTGTAAAATCTCAAAGTTATATATTCCTTTAATGTAAAAACAAAGCACTTTGCAGTCCTGAGAAATCTTGTTTAGGTAGTGCTGTTATTGAGGGTCACTGGTGGCTTATTTTAAGGTCACCTCCCTACTCCTGCACCCCTGCGGTATGTCCCACTGGTAATTTTGGGCTTGTCTGTAACTGCATCTGAAGAGGATTTGGTTGTAAAATAGAACATGTTAATCATGCTGTGCAACACTCTGATGTTCTTTATAGCTGAGCTCGAGTGATGAAAAGACACTTTATCACATTCTCTACTGGTATTTTTTTCCACAGAATTTAATAATTAAATAGACCATAAATTCAGTCTGATTTAGTTTTGCTGTTATAAAACCTCTCTGCCCTCCTTTTTTAATAAGCAAATCAAAACCCAGCTCAGATGTAAGTTGTCTCGGTCTCATCTTTTTCTACTTCTCATACTGAAAGGGCTATTCATTTCTAATTTTGTTCATGGTGCTCTGTTTTTAATTTCATTAACTATTTGGGTACGCATTCTTCTTTACTTTTAAACTAGAAATTCCCAATGACTTTTTGATTATATTTAGTGGGTGGAACTTCCTGGAGACACACATCTTCTGTTTGGCAATCACACTTTTACTACCACTCAGTCACATACTGTGTATGTAATTAGATAATATGAAAGGCTAATGAGCTGCTGTGTGTCATGTTACAGTGTTATCAGTCCTGCAGATAACCATTTTCCCATTGATAACATTTGGGAGATGACGTTTGTTGAAGGCAGGACAAGTACCCATTTGTGAGACAGGGTTGGGCTGGGAGAGTAGTTTTGCCAAGGGGAAGGCTGTAAAGCACATGTTTACAGAAGTCTAGGATCCCATCCTGGTGCCTGTCTCCTAATTCCTGGTGAACGGCATGCAAAATTAACATCAACAGGCTTTTGAAAATAGGGTCTGCAGAACTCATTAGTTCACAATTGGACTATTTTCAAAGTCCAAGAGATAGTGAATGCAGGATGGGGCTTTTTGCCCAACTTTAAGTCCCTGTAGCTGCTGAATAGTTCTGTCATTCAGTAATTTAGGAAAATGGAAGTGTGCCTGAGGATTAAGAATAGCTGATTGGTATGAGAGGATTTAGGGAATTTGGATTTTTAAAAGATCTTTGGATCATGTCACGAACAGGATTTTGATAGGATTTTTAGATTTGTTCTTGGATGTGTGTAACTCATGTAAATTTCAGGGAGATGGATCTTTGATGTCTAGTGTTTCTATCAGTATTTTAGTTCACTAAGCAGTACTGAGAAGGAAATTACATAGCATTTAGTTATGAACTTATTATATATGCATTTTATTTGTTTTTAGTAAATACTTTCGCTTCAATTTGCAGTGAGGTTACTTAATGACATTGCCACAGTTTAGCTTGGCCTCAGGTGACCTTTGCTACTGCCCTCGATATAGTTTTTTGGCAGAGTAGTAGTGAGTGGCACTAATTAAGCCCTCTTCCTGAAAAGTCTTGCTTCAAGCCTCCTTCTTTTCCAGCACGAAAGCCTTGGTGTGTTAATGCAGGGCTCTCATTTCTCTTATCACCTCTTCAGCAAACCTGCTTTCTTGTGGAGGCAGCCCACTGTAGCGTACTGTGATGTTCCTGACTGGTTTTCTTTCATTGGCAATACTAGTAACGGGTAGAACCTTAGCAGTCAGAGAGAGTGGGAGCTGGGCTCAACGTAACCATTGTGCTCCAGCTAGTGGAAAGCAGGGGGTGCTTTGTAATTAGGAATTAATATTCAAATGCTTCTGGGGAGGAAAAAAAAAATGAAAAAAAATCACATTCCAGCCTCTTTGGGTCACAAAATGTCAGTCTGAGAATGGCACCCACATCTCTGACTTTACTTACTGTCGGGGGAGAAAAAAACAGATTTATCTTTGAATAAACGTAGTTATTTTTGTTTTTTCTCAGCCTGTGTGATTGTAATTAATGTTAAGACACTCTCTAAAACAAGGGATTTATTATAATGCAAGGGTGAGGATGGCTTCTATTGACCTTTTCCTCTGCTGGAGTTTCAGTGTTTTAGTATGTGCTGCTTGCACTGGAAAGAATTTATAATCACAGGGCTGTCAAAGACAGCCATTGTTCTCTCTGCTCTGAACATGTGGGTCAGCTACAAGTGCTTTCATATCCCCCAGAGCCAGGAGCTGGCAAAGAGTAAAGAGCACAACTGAATTCTTCTGAGGCATCAGGAAAAGCATTTTGCATATTTTTCATTGCTGATTGCTTGAGAAAGACATCCCTCTTTCATAACAGGAATTTCTCTTCAAGGTAGAGGGAGGCTGGGGCACACTGCTTCATTATTTTGCCGAGCTGAAGCAGCAACAACAAATGCTGTCTGCTGGTGTCCCAGCCAGATACAATGGATGGGCAAGGGGAGGGGGGATCTTTTGGAAAGCAGCAGACTTAAACCTGATGCAAGCACAATGTTAAAACTGTAGTGCCTTTGCCTGTGCTATGGACTATGGACGGCAAGTCAAGTTTCAGGTTACTTTTAGTTTTGATCACTTTATTAACTCGCCTATTGCAACTTTTTCTCAGGTCATTCTACTAATCTTAACAAGTTGGAGTTTTCTCTTAATCAGCATAAAATTGGGGTTTATTGCAAGCTTGCACTTTTGTTCTGAAGGGGAAGAAAGTAAGGAAATCCTTTTTTGGGGGAGGATATTTTTAGTATTTGGGAAAATACTTTGTTGTCTGATGTGTAATGGATCTCACGGGTATGTCAGTGGCTTCTATATGAAGAGGTACCTGCTGTGCGTCCCTGTAGGAAACAGAGGATATTGAGAGCCCGAAGCGCAGCATTCGTGACAGCGGCTATATAGACTGCTGGGACTCCGAACGCAGCGATTCCCTCTCCCCACCTCGCCACGGCAGAGATGATTCCTTTGACAGTCTGGACTCCTTTGGCTCCCGCTCACAGCAGACACCGTCTCCAGATGTAGTGCTCAGAGGGAGCAGTGATGGTAAGTACCGGTCACAGTGCAGCACATGCATAACATTGTGATATAGAAGTAACATATCTGGAGCAAATGTACCATTCAGAAGCTGGACACAGCCTCTGAATCATGCTGGTCTGGTGGGTGAAATTCTCTGTAAATGCTCCCTGAGGTTTAGATGACTTTCCAACAGCTTACTTGAAGTCTGTCTCAGGATAGTGTAACGTTAGAAAATGAGTTATGTCATTGCAGTATAATTTTGTGATGAGAAGAGCGCTTCTCTGGGTTACGGTGTAAGAGGATGTTACGCAGACTCATTTTAACTTACAGACTAATCTGGAGCAAGAAATAGAACTCAAAACAAGGGAAATATTGAAATGAATAAATTGTTTGCGTAAATAAACCACAGGCAGAAAAATTACACAGAAATATCTTGGAAACGCCTGATACTTTACAGAGTTTTGAATTCTGATGTACAACATTTTACCAAATACCCGATTTGTTTTCATGGTATTTAGAAAACTGTGTACATTAATAGCTCCCAGCGTCAGAGCTGTGGCCATCTTTGCACACCTTTGAGTGAAGACATGCAGCTCTAAGCTTACAGAAGGGGTGCTCCTTCTCTGCCTTTCTTGTCTGATTCCCAGAGTCTTCCAGAGGCTTTTAAACTCACCGTGCTGGATGAGGGGGTATTTGCTAGGGGTAGGTGTGGAGCATGCACTCAGGTTACCTGCTGGGATCAGAATTCTAGTTCAGAACAAATGGATGCTTGATTGAGGCTCTCTGCATGGTTACATTCTTGATGAATGGATGAATCAGTCGTACTTCATCATCATCAGAAGTTTCATTCCACACATGAATCACTTCTGCTTTGTAACGTTATTTATTTAATAAAAAAATAGGAAGGGCAGAAAGACTTTTTTGTAGGAACCAGATGTTCTTACTGCTTTTGGCAGTGTTAAAGAAACTAGTGCTAATCATAACCGAACACATGAGAGATTTCCTGAGGTGATGCGGAACTCCTTAAAACTGCAAAGCTGTCAGGTATCACAGCTGAATTAAGAGTGAGCTGTGGTGAAAGTAGGGCTAAGATCTGCTCTGCTCTTTTCAGTGGCCTGTGGTACTGGGGCTGTTGCTGGTTGACCATCCAGAACCAGCTACTGGGGCTGATTCCCTGAAGCAGCCTTGTGTCCCCTCAGGCACTGAGCAGAGCACGGTCTCTAGTGTGTGAAACATTTTTCTGCCTTCCCAAATGAGACGAAGTGTGGTGTTGGCAAATAGGAACACCTCACATGTCCTAATTAAGAAGTGTTGCTCCATTCTGGGTGATCAAGGAGTGTCCAGTGTCGCTGTCTATTTGGAGCTGGTGGGCAGCCAGTTACATACGTCCTGTAGCTGCTTCCTAATACACCTATTGCCCTATCAGCAGATTTTAGTAAGGTTTTGTGGTTGGTTGGTTGCCACAGCTAAGGCATACTATCTTGTCACATTCTTGAGTCCATAACAAACACAAAATAAGAAGCAAGCATACAAAGATTTTTCTTAAAAATTAGTCTTTTAAACATATCCAAGACCCAGCGTGCATGCAGATGTGTGTGCACGTATGACTTTGACAGCCAGCCCTTTCTAACGCATCCTATTTTCCCTGCTTGCTGTTGCCATAACTTCACAGCTGTCTCCTCTAAGAGTTGCAGGTGAGGTGTAGCTTGGCTGACCTTTTTTCTGTCAAAACTTTTCTGTGGCCCCATCAGGCCAGTGTTTCACTCAGCTGCATGTAGTTTTTAATAATGTATATGAAAGGCTGGATAGAGGAAAAGGTTCTGCTTGCATTACTCCTCTCTTCTTTCAGACAGGAGCTTTATAAACCCAATCATATGATAGTGAAATAAAACTATGATTCCTTCCTATCCTAGAAGGAAAAAAATAATAAAGGAGTGAGGATGATTTAAGTGATCCTAAGATGATGATTAGTTTAGATGGAAGTAATAAGTAATATTACCTTCACAAATGTATCTGTGATTAACCCCACTGTTTGGGAACTGCTCTGGTGTCCCTTAGCAAAAAGGAAACAAAGCCAGTGGTAAGCAGAACAGTTTGTTTAAAGCACAGTAGAATTGCAGACTGACCTGCCCGTTAAGTTGCTAATGTACTCAGGAATGAATAAAATCCTCTGCTTGGCCAGCAGTTGTACATGGATCCTTGTATGCAGGATCTGTGCATGTCTGTAGTGTGTAACTGCTTGTTACAGGTTGTGGAAACTGGCAGCTGGTGCTTCTTCTACTTAGAAGAGCAGAAAAACAAAGGTAAATATAGAGCACGGTTGCATCTTCCATTCAGTACTTTGGATTCAAGTGCTTTTTGCAAATTTGAGTGGAAAATAATTTCACTAGTAAAATATGAATAAATAAAGAAGTTGACTTTGAAGTACTCAACTTGATGCTGGTAGATACATCAGTAATAAAGGAGAGGAATCTGTTCTGCTGCTGTGGTTATCTATTCCAGCATTTCTGTCTACTGGTTCAAGACTGGTTTTCATGTGATACAAAACTAAAGAGCAGGACAAAGCCAAAAGCAAGCAGATTTGCAAGTAACAGTAAGGGATCTTTATTTTCTCTTGGCTACTCTGTGGCCCTGTTCACTCTAATGATACTACACCTCTTCAAACCTCAGCTATCCTCAGGCATCTGTGATTCTGGGGTTATGTCTCCACTTTTTGTTTAGACGTAGACTCCAGTTACCAGTCATGGTGCTACTTATCATATGCTGTTAACAAAAATTGCTTAAGCAAAAGATTACTGGCAAAAAGTGCATTGTGGTTTTTGTCTAACTAGCTCATTTCCATTGTGTCTTGTCTTTTCTTGCTGTTCCCTTTCACCCTTCTTCATCTCTCTCCAAGCAAACATAGAATAGCTCAATCTGCTGCAAAAGCTCTTTGCAAATAACATTCCTAGCATATTTAGACCTCTTTTCCTTCCCCCACTTTGAATTATACACACACGCTACTTGTGATTTTTATGATTTCATTGTTTTCAGTTGTTCATTAGGTAGCTCAGTGAATTAGCTAGTAATTTACTAGTGTGGTGAATTAACAAGAGGACACAACCTGGGTGGCTTCCCCAGAAAGGGGAACAGCTATTGCATATGCAAGTGTTGCAAAGGGGCCAAGGGCCAGAGGCATCCAGTGCTCCAAAGCTGGGAGCAGATTTGAATACTGGTGGGAGAAATGGCTCCATTTCACTCATCAGACCAGGACCTGTGGTGATGTTATACTGCTGGGAGAGAACTATTTACATAGTTTCTTTGTGAATTACTTGAAAAGGCTCATGGTGGTTCAGGGAATCTAGTGAATGTCTATGAAGTGCCTTCCAAAATGCCTATGAGGGCAGTTCCACTGCAAATGCTCTTTAAGGTATTCTACCACTGGGAGTTTTGTTTTCAAGTTGGAAAAGTCCAACCCAACCAAAATGAGTTGTAAATATCAAGAGGCTTTGGACAAACATTTTGAACAGAATAAAGTAGTCACTCAGCTCCGTTGATCGTATTCTGTGTAACTCTCATTTTCCTCTCTCGCTTTATTTCTTTTCTTTGCCAGTGAGTATTCTTCAGTCTTTGTGATCCTGATCTAACCTCTAAATCCCAAGACCCCTTCTCTCTCTTCTTGCACCTTTCCATCTGAGGATCAAGTCCCTCTGTCTATTTTGCAGTGTGCTAGACTGATTGACCAAGAAACCAATGAGACTGGAGAGAGTTTTATAGTTTATAGCAGCTGATGCTTGTCCTCAGATTTTGATCAAAGTCAGTGAATAACTGTCTTTGATCAAAATCTGATGCTGTGTGCATTCAAATTGACATTAATATGTATGTGTAGAAATATCCAGATTCCTGTCATTCTGTAAATATATGGCATGCAGCCCTTTTTTGATTGAGCATATGCTATGCATATGTAAGTCTAGGTTCAAGAGAGTGAATGAGGTCAAACCTGTAGGTACAACTAGGAGTCATTTCGGCTTTAGTCAGGTGAGCTTCTGTAGCTGTCCTGTGTGACTGGTAAATCAGGCTTAATCTGACCCTGAGGTTTTTTATCTGACCTATGGGTAAAGATGAGTTTTTCAGGGGAAGAATATAAGGGTTGATGGGAAAAAAGTTTACTTTCCATGTAGATATTATGGCTACTACCTTCAGTCACTGATTTTAAAATGCAAATACAGGTAAAAGTGGCCTCATTTCTTGGTGCTCACATGCTAAATGTAATTTTTTGGTGATGTCTTTCGTGATTTATAATTATTTTTTTTAAATGGATGAAAGTGAAAAGAAGAGGGAATTTTTTTCTCCTTTCTCACTAGGGAGAGGAAGTGACTCGGAACCCGACCTGCCACACAGAAAGATGCCGGATGTGAAAAAAGATGATATGTTGGCGAGGCGGACCTCACACGGTGAACCTAAATCAGCTGTGCCGTTTAACCAGTACCTCCCGAACAAGAGTAATCAGACTTTCTATGTACCTGCTCCACTTCGGAAAAAGAAAGCTGAACGGGAAGAGTACCGAAAGAGCTGGAGCACGGCAACTTCCCCACTAGGAGACAGACCTTTCAGGTAAGACCAGCCTGTTCAACTTCTCCCTTCCTCAGTGATGATGCTTTACCACTTGCCTAATTTTCATTCTTTTCATAAGCCATATGAAGCTGTGATAAGTCTCTTGCTGAGATGGTACTGATAAATTGTTTGTAGCAATTGATGAAGGTGGTAGAAAAGCAGAAAATGGAAAATCATTGTCTTGATGTCATTATTTACCATACAATGCAATGTATAGCTTGTGTTTGACAAAGATGTTGGTTAATGTAAATACCATGGATGTTGACTCAAACCCAGGGCTGGATAGATATGTTCTGGATGATCTGCCTCAGTTCTCAAGACAGTTACTCATTGACAAACAATACTTGTAAGTAACATGTGATGTATTCAACCAAAATAGGTAACATTTTTGCTCTGGTTTCTTTTTTTAATCAATTTATTTTTATGTTGTATTCTATACACCAGTACAGTTCGTATTGCTGTGACTACGTATTTCTGCATGCTGGTTTTTTCAACTGATACTTCACTCTCTGATTTGGCCTAAGAAGCAATTTCTGTTAAAGAGCATAATTCTGTTCCCACATCATTTATCAGAATATCACTTGGTGTCTTGATATCAACAAAATATGCTTATAATAAATAAGTGTATGTGTTCTAGGCACAGCATACAATAAACAACCTTGTATAATTCAATAGCAAACCCCACCCTGAAACCATAGAAGAAGAACAGAGTGAAACATCAGGACTGTGTGAAAAGGAGAAAGTGGGCTCCATGGCTCCTGAGGCAAGCTCCCTTAACGGCCAAGTAGGTTTGAATCAAAATGAAGGAAACTCCATAGACCAGTCTCCTTCATGTAGTGCAAAAGAAACATCAGTATCCAAGGGAAAAGATGCAGAAGAGATCAAAAAGTTAAGAAGACTCGAGCAAGCTGGCATTACGGTCATGTCAGCAGCCCAGCGCTACGGCAGGTTAGCCCAGCGGTGTGGGAAATTGTGCACGCTTCACATTTTTAGGATTGGCTGAAATGTGCATTTCCTTGATCTGCTGTGATTTCACTTCTCCTAACAAAAACCCAGTCTGCTAAGCACTCACAATTACTAGTGAAGGTCTTGGTCTGAAAAGGCTTGTGATGTGGCAGCTGTGGATTGCAGAGTTGTATGATGCTAACTGCATTTGTGCTGAGGAATTGTATCGTCTTACAAGCATAATGTAAACAGACTCCAAGAACACTACTACACAGACAACTTGTCACCTTCCACTTATCTTTCTTGCATTTAGTAAAAAAATACATATAAATGTACATTAAAAATGTCTTGTTTAGGCAAAGTTTTGAAACTTACATCATTTGTTGCCAATGGGATGGCTTAGTTTACTGAACTACACTTTTTAGGTGGTTAATAATTTTAGCTGTGTTAATAAATGATGCATTTATTTTTAATGGCAGGAACTATAAAAGTAAAGTGCTTGTTAACACATGTACCAGTTAAAGCATGGAGGCATAGTTCAGCAATCATAATTTGACTGACTTTGGCATGGAATATCAGTAGTTATTCACTTATTAGCTGTGTTACTTATTTTTGGATGTTGTTCAATTTCATTATTTCCCGTTCTTTAACTCAAGAGCTGAATGAAGGCCTGTGCCTTTCCATCATCTGATATCAGATCCTCATGACAAATCTCATTTTTCTCATGGGGATGGCCTGCAAAGCAGAGTTTTAACGAACATGTCAGAAGACTAGGCTCTTATAAATGATCAAAGTGGTTTGGGTAAGGGGGAAGTCTTAAATCTCTTCCTGGCCAAAACATTTTATTTCGGATTGTAGGGTGAATTTCTGGACAGTGAGTAGTTTAGCAGGTGCTGATCTATAGTCTGGACTTTGAAATGAAGTAGTAAAAAGTACAGCTCTTATGTGATAGAGCTTGTTTTTAGACACAGTGAAGCTTGTCTGCAGCCATATACAGGTGTCCTCTTCTCAGGTTTGCTTCATTGCAGTCAAGCTGTTATGAACCAGTGTTTGTATATGGTTGTGGGGTACTTCTTTAACAAAGCTGGATACTAATAAAGAACTACTATCTGTCATAGAAGAGTCCTTCAGGCTCAATCAGGAATCCAGAAACTGGTAGAGTATTAGCATAATCCTGTTCTGAGTCCAAGGCTGTAGTATTAGCCTTGGTACACATTAGGTAGTAATGTAGTAATAGCTGGTGTTGTGCAGTGCACAACAAATAGTGCTGTTTGCATTTGCATTTGGAGAATGCCCACCGCATTGAGAGTCCCCTTTCCAACTCCGTGCTTGATCCACTGGCTTGATTTCCACAAAAAGAGCACATGTGATCAGATGTGTGGTTCTTTGGCAGGAAATTGGTTCTCCTCTTTCCTTGCACAGCCTGTTGTCCTGACAGGGCAGAAGGAGAAGGGAGGGGAAATAAGCCATTTTCCTTCCTGGCTCTCAATGGAAGCATCATGTGGAATCTGGCACATGGAGAAAGGAAGAGCTGCTGTTTTTCTGCTCCAGCTGAGGGTCAAAGAGCAGAGCTTTGCAGCCTAAGCTTCACCATAGTGAAGTAGGAGCCTGCTCCTGGGGATTGTTGGAAAACACAGCAGAAAAGGCACTGGGGTCAGAGGTCTGTTAGGGAAATTATTTGTATGTGTAAGTGTAAGAATGGTGGGTGAAGAGAAGGGAAGAATTTAGTAGTGACACTTTAAGATGCAAGGGAGCCATTTAATCATCTTTCTTAATGTCTCATTGTCATTCCTTGTTCTTTGAACCCCTCCATTTTCTCTCTTCTTCTTGACATCAAGTTCAAATTTCCGTGCACTATCGGCACTGAGCAATTCTTATTCCATCTGATTTCTGAATTCTGATTGTTCTTTTCCTTCACCCTTCTTATTCCTTCATCTCTCTATGATAGAAGCCTCTTATTTTACCTGAGGTTGTCAGTTTAATTCCAGTTCCTCTGAGTTGTTTACAGGGTGTTTCCTCTCAACATATTGACCTCTGGAGGACACCTACTGTGCCTTTGAGTTCTACAAGGCATCTAATTGTTCCTAAAGCTGAAACTCAGTAGGGGACCTTTCTGGGTGTGGCACAGGAAGGATTTGAACTTGTATGCAAATGTATTTTTTGCTTGGAATCTAAGTACTTATCTCCATTGATGTAGCATGTTCCGGGAAAAGGCTTGATTAAACTAGACGCTATACAATTGCATGCCAAAAAGCATTCTCCTTTCCCAAAGGAGCATATTGTCTCTTTATAGCATGTTGTTTTATTGACGTGTGATCCTCCTTGCTTGCTTATTGTCTGCATCTGTCTCTTATTTACGCTGTGGTATCTGAAAGGTAAGGATCAGATTCATGGAGACTCTCTAAAAAGAGGATAATCAGGTGTGTCTTAATAGATGATGGAGAGGAGGATGTAAGAGAGAAATGTGAGCAAACATTTTTGGCATGTTCGTTGCAGAAGAAACATGGATTTCTTGACAGTGCATAAGCATGCAAAACCCTTTTATTGTTTTAAAATGCTATATAAGGATCCACAGGCCTGTGTGAGACCCTGCTTAAAGGGAGTGCAAACGCCCACAGTCTTGACACCTGCTGTACCAGCATAGACCTGGGTGCTGTTTCTGCAGGGGCTGGAGCTGGGTGTACAAGAACTATTTGCAAATTTGCTGGGAATTCTGGTCCATTGCAAGCTTCAGATCTACAGTCTTTGCTATATCTATGGTAAATTTGCCTTAAAAACATTTTCAAGAACATCACAAACTGATTCAGGAGACCCCAAAACATCACAGCTCATCTCCAATTCCATTAAAAACAAAATGTAAATTTATGGAAAATATACTTAACCTAGAAACTGGTAGCTGAAGTCTAGTTACATACTAAAAGCTCAAAGTTCTTCAGTTATTCATTACAATGACTCATAGTTGCTCTTTTGGGTATTATTACTCACTATTTCTTTGTTGCCAAAACTACCCTTCTCAGAAATGCTACATTTGATGCTGTCAAGCTTCAATAGGATTGGTGGATATGAGGTTGAAAAATACGGTATTTTTTACTGAATAATCACTTCGTTATAGCTCTTAAAAACTAAAAGCATAAGGAATACCCTCAACCTAACCAGCTCAATAAATATTCAATGATTTTCAGTTAAGAAGTAAATATAAGCAAGATTTAATGGAGTATTGTGTTATTTTATACATGCCCATTATGTCCAGGCTTCTGAAAACTATTTCCAAATTATTAGATTTCAGAAAATGGTGATGGTACTGGTAGTAAAGTCTGATTTAAAAAAGAAGAAAAAAAAATCAAGTTAATCATATGTGCTCTGGCTTATCTGGGAGAAAAATTATGTTAACTGTATGTACCCTGGCTTATCTGGGAGAGGAAGTCCCAGCATATACGACTTTTAGATAACTGTTTTCCTTTGTGCCAAAAACATTAGGTGCAGTGTATCTGCTTTAGATCAGTATATTTGCCCTAAAGTTTTCATATTCTTGTAATGGGGGATGAGGGGAAAATGTCTTAGGACACCATGAATGGAAAGTCAGACCCTTTCCCTGGTGATCATCTTGTACTGACTGTATTGCAGGTTTAAGAAGCAAATTGGATTTGGACAAGTTACTCTTGTGTTTTGATAATCTGTGATTTAGAATTGAGTGATGTAATATACCTGTTCAGCAGTGAAATTTGAACCCGAAGATGACGTTGTAAGGCTGTTGATTTTCATATATACAAGAGTCAACATACTTAACAGACTTATTACCATATTCCTTTATGGAAGAAAGAGTAATGGAAGACTGTTGTCATTCTAAGTGGAAGGTAGCCGATGGAGGGTGTATGTGAAGTGTACAGCAGCTCAGAGCCATCTGTTCCAGCTGTTTCTGAAGGTGTTGCGAATAGAGATGCTTGTGAGGGAGAGGAGCAGCAGTTCCCTTTGGAGCACCATCAGCCAGTTTTGTCTGTTGCCTTAAATGAAATCTCGGTCCTTCAGAGATATCCAAGGAAGAAGTTACCTTTGGC